TTTTTCCTGGATGTTCCTCCAGGCTTTTTCCTGGATTTTCCTCCAGGCTTTTTCCTGGATGTTCCTCCAGGATTTTTCCTGGATGTTCCTCCAGGATTTTTCCTGGATTTTCCTCCAGGCTTTTTCCTGGATTTTCCTCCAGGCCTTTTCCTGGAGGTTCCTGGCCCTTTTCTTGGATGATTCTGGCTTTTTCCTGGATGTTCTTCCAGGCCTTTTCCTGGAGGTTCCAGGTTTCTTCCTGGATGTTCCAGGACTTTTCCTGGATGATTCTGGCATTTTGGGAGCAGGTCTGGGAGGTGTGAAATCTGTCAGGTCAAAGGGCTGTGAAATGCCCACTTTGATGTCCAAAAAAATCCTGGAATTTTAATTTCTCCCTTTTCCAGAGCTGGAGGCCGATCCCAGCCTTTTGCTGGAATCTCCCGGCTTTCTGTTGGATATTCCCAGCCTTCCCCTGGAATTTCCCGCTGTTTTCCTGGATGCTGCTGGGTTTTTTCTGGGCTCTGGGGTGCGGGCGGCGATCACGGAGGTGGAAAACACCAACTTCCATTCCCAAATCCTGGAATTCCCATCTGTCCCCAGAGCCGGTGGCCGATCCCATCATCCGGATCCTCCGTCGGGAATCCTCCAACGGCAGCTGCTCCCTGGAGCTGCGCTGCTCCTCGGAGCGGGGGGACGAGGTTTCCTACAGCTGGGCCAGCCGGGACAACGGCACCGGGGGGATCTGCGCCGGCAGCGGCGGCGGCCTGAACCTGTCGTACGCGCTGCGGAGCGCGGCCTTCGGCTGCGTCTGCACCGCCAGCAACGCCGTCAGCCGCCGCCACGCCGCCTTCCACGCCGAGCAGTGCGGCTCTGAGCACTGGGGTAGGTCCTGGAACCCTGGGATCCTGGAACCCCGGGATGCCGGAATACCAGAACCCTGGAGTTCCAGAATCCAGGAATCCTGGAACACCAGAACCCTGGGATCCTGGAACCCCGGGATCCCGGAACACCAGAACCCTGGAGTTCCAGAACCCAGGAATCCTGGAACCCCAGAACCCCGAGATCCCAGAACCTCAGAATCCTGGAACACCAGAATCCTGGAACCCCAGAACCCTGGGATCCAAGAACCCCGGGATGCCGGAACACCAGAACCCTGGAGTTCCAGAACCCCGGGATGCCGGAACACCAGAACCCTGGAATTCCAGAACTGCAGAACCCTGGAACCCCAGAATCCTGGAACCCCAGAACCCTGGGATCCCAGAATCCAGGAATCCTGGAACCCCAGAACCCTGGGATCCCAGAACCCAGGAATCCTGGAACCCCAGAACCCTGGGATCCCAGAACCGCAGAATCCTGGAACACCAGAATCCTGGAACCCCAGAACTCTGGGATCCCAGAACCCAGGAATCCTGGAACCCCAGAATCCCGGAACCCCAGAACCCTGGGATCCCGGAACCCCAGAACCCTGGGATCCCAGAACCCCAGAACCCTGGAATCCTGGAACCCTGGGATCCCAGAACCCCAGAATCCTGGAATTCCAGAGTCCTGGGACCCCAGAATCCTGGAATTCCAGAATCCCAGAATCCTGGAGTTCCAGAATCCCAGAATCCTGGAGTTCCAGAACCCCGAGATCCCAGAACCATGGAATCCTGGAACCCCCGGATCCTGGAACGCCAGAATCCTGGAACCCCAGAATCCTGGAACCCCAGAACCCTGGAATCCTGGAACCCTGGGATCCCGGAACCCCAGAATCCTGGAATTCCAGAGTCCTGGGACCCCAGAATCCTGGAATTCCAGAATCCCAGAATCCTGGATTTCCAGAACCCCGGGATCCCAGAACCATGGAATCCTGGAACGCCCGGATCCTGGAACCCCCGGATCCTGGAACCCCAGAATCCTGGAACCCCAGAACCCTGGGATCCCAGAACCCCAGGATCCTGGAATTCCAGAGTCCTGGCACCCCAGAATCCTGGAATTCCAGAATCCCAGAATCCTGGATTTCCAGAACCCTGGGATCCCAGAACCATGGAATCCTGGATGGAACCCCCGGATCCTGGAACCCCAGAATCCTGGAACCCCAGAACCCTGGAATCTTGGAATTCCAGAACCCTGGAACCCTAGAATCCTGGAATCACAGAATCCTGGGATCCTGTAAAGCCAGATTTCCGAAACCCTAGAATCCTGGAATCCCCAGAATCCTGGAATCCCCAAGTCCTGGGATCCCCAAATCCTGGGATGCCAGAACCCCAGAATCATGTAATTCCAGAACCCTGGAACTCCAGAACCCTGGGATCCTGGAACCCCGGACCCCCAGAATCCTTGAACCCCAGAACCCTAGAATCTTGGAATTCCAGAATCCTGGGATCCCGTAAACCCAGAATCCTGGGATCCCAGAACCCTGGAATCCTGGAACCTCAGGATCCTGGAATCCCAGAACCCTGGAATCCCATACAAGAGATTTATTTTCCCAATAAGGCAAATAAAGAGAGCTCAGAGGTGTTTCCTGTTCCTCTGTGCTTCCTGTTCTGCAGCAAGTCAACCCCAAATTAGGTGACAGAGGTGACAAGTTCAGCCTCCGAGTCCGGTGATGAAATGACAAAAATCAGCCCCAAAATCAGATGACAAAAATCAGCCCCAAAAATAGGTGGCAGAGGCGGCAAAAGGCTCAGGGTGACCCAGGGCCACCTCCCCTGTGTGTCCCCTCCTGTCCCAGATGTCCCCAGGGTGAGGACAGAGCTCCTGGTGCCTCTGGTGGTGCTCGGTGTCATCATCATCATCATCATCATCGTGGTCATTGTCACCTTCAGGGCCACCCGCTCGGCCAAATGTGAGTTTGGGGGTTCCTGGAGTGGGTGGGGGTCCCCAGGGGCTGATCCCCAAAATCCTGGAGGTTGGGAAGGAATTCTGAGGCCATCGAGTCCAAGCTGTGACCGGTGCCCACACGGTCACCCGGTGTCCCCAGGGACGGCAGCTGGACACGGGAGGAACTGGGATGGGGAGCACTGGGATCTTCTCCCAGCCCCACCCCGAGGGACCAAGGATGAGTTTTTGGGAGAGGAAATCCTGAAAGGAGAATTCCTGAGGGAGCTGGGGGGGCTCAGCCTGGAGAAAAGGGTGATCCAGGAGGATTTGGGATCTGATCCTGGGGGGATTTGGGATCTGATCCTGGGGGGATTTGGGATCTGATCCTGGGGGAATTTGGGATCTGATCCCAGGGGGCATTTGGGATCTGATTCCACGAGGGATTTGGGATCTGATCCTGGGGGAATTTGGGATCTGATCCTGGGGGGGATTTGGGATCTGATCCTGGGGTGATTTGGGATCTGATCCTGGGGGGGATTTGGGATCTGATCTCAGGGGGGATTTGGGATCTGATCTCAGGGGGATTTGGGATCTGATCCTGGGGGGATTTGGGATCTGATCTCAGGGGACATTTGGGATCTGATTCCACAAGGGATTTCGGATCTGATCCCAGGGGGGATTTGGGATCTGCCAGGGGGGATTTGGGATCTGATCCCAGGGAATGGGACAGGACAAGAGGGAACGGCCTCGAGCTATGCCAGGGTGAGAAATTAGGGAAAATCCCTGCTGGAAAAGGGCGGCCAGGCCTTGGAAGGGTCTCAGGGAGGGTTGGAGTGGCCACCCCTGGAGGCGTCCGAGGAATTCCAGGAGATTCCTCGGGATGACCAAGGGGGAACCGGACACCGGTCGGACTCGGTGCCCTTGGAATTCTTTTCCAACCTGGCTGATCCCAGGATTGTGAGACACCTCCCCACCCCACAGGTGACCCAGACCCCTCCCAGGTCACCCCGGACCCCACCCAGGTCACCCCCGCCAGCGCCACCATCTACGCCCAGGTGCAGCGGGTGCAGGTGAGGGGGAAAAAGGGGGAGATGGGGAAAAAGGGGAGAAAAGGGTGAGGAAAAGGGAGAATAAATCTGAGCGGCACAACCTGCCGAGTCCCCCGGGTCCCACGGTGGCTTTGGGGACATTTCCCCCTTTTCCGAGCCCCACTGGGCACAGCCCCGGCAGGAATGGGCGGTGGCAGGACCGGGGTGGCCCCGCGGGGACCCCCGGGTCACCGCCCACCCTTTGTCACCTCCCTCAGAAGCCCAAAGGGACCGTCCCCAGCGCCACCCCCCTGTCCTGCACCACCATCTACGCCACGGCCACCGGGCCACCCGCGGACCCCGACGGAGCCCCCCGGTCCCCGGCCGTGTCCCCAGCCCCGCGGGGACGTCCCCCGCTGTCCCAGGTAAGGGCCACCATCCCCAGGCCCTGCCCGTGGCCACCTCCGGTCAGGCCACCTCGCTGACCCCCCATTTTTGTGCCCCCCAAGGAGCCCACGACGGTTTACGCCAGCGTGACCCTCCCGGTGGCCTGAGCCTCCCCGGGATCCGCGGTCCCGGCTGGAATCGCCGCCGATCCCGGGGGAATCCTCTGGGGATCCCGGAGCAAGCCCAGAGGAATTGCGGGAATTCTCCGGAGCGAGCGACAGCGGTGGCCCCGACGTGATGTGGGATGGTCACGCGAGGGCTGATCCCAATTAACACCCGGGAACATCCACGAGGATTTTTGGGATGAGAAGAGGACGTGCCACCCGTTTCGATCCCGATCCCAAAGAAAATCCCCATCCTGGGATCGCCTCTCCCACCCCATCCCCACCCGCAATTCCAGCCCGGAATTCCTGATTCCCAAAGAAATTCTCATGCCCGAGGAGTAATCCAGGCTCTAATCAGCCAGTTAATTAATTAAACAGGTTCATTGTGCACCTCAGCAGTATTTGCACCAAGAAAAAGAAAAGACAAGGATTCCCAAACTTTCCGAGCCCTAAAACCCCCACAGAATTCCCATCCCCGCCCATCCCACCTGTCCAATCCCAAATCCATCCCTTCACAGTTTCCCATCCCCAGATCTTCGCTCCAAGGCACAGCCGGGGCTTGAATCTTGGGGGGAAATCCCAAATTTCTGGAAATTTCTGTTCCATCGGGTGGGATCTCAGCAGCCACTGGAGTTTCCAGGAGAAGAATTCCACAGGGATGGGAATTCCGGGGTTTTAGGGGCGCTGGTGGCCGGCAGGATTTGGGAAGCGCAGGCGCCTGTAACCCCCGTTATCCTGCAAGGAAAAGGGTGGGATTTGTGGCAGTTTGAGAAGTTTTGATTCCGGAACTCCTGGATTTTGGTGTTCCAAGGGTCAGCGTGGGGTCAGAACCCCCAAATTTGGGATCCTGCTCTGACATTCCAGACAAACCTTCCCGGGAGTTCTTCCTCTTCTCCCTCCACCAGCAGCAGCCACCGACGAGGAGCAGCGTCAGCCCCTCGGCAAGGGCCACGACCAGCGGTCTCCAGTGGCCAAAATTGTCTGGAATTTCTGGAAAAGAATCCCAGAATCCTGGAACTGGGCTGGGATTTGGGGTCCCTTCCCACCCAAACTGTCCCAGGATTCCCTGAATCTCTAACTTGATATTTTTGCCTTATATCAAATTAAAATGTATAAATACTAATGTATTAAAAATATAAAAATAAGTTTATATTTTATGTATATAAAATATCTATTTAGTATATAAAACCAGGTATATTTCTATATAAAATAAATATACATTATATATGGAAGTAAGTATAGTATATAAATATATTATATATATATGTAAGTATATCTTTTACAGATATAAATGGATTTTATATATACAACTATAGATTTTACACAGAATACATACAAAAATTATGCATATTATATACAAAAGTTAATTTCAAAATGACACAGTTTACGCCTCCGCAAACGCTTCTTCCCGGATATTTTCCAGCACTGTAACCACCATTATTTTCCCAGTGTAAAAGCCGGAACGCTCAGCCCACCCCGCGGGTCCCTCCCGGCTCCCCGAATCCCGGGATGCGCGGGAAGATCACCTGGGCAGGTGAGCAGGGCGCGGGCCGCGCTCCAGCCCGCGGGGCTGCTGACGTTGCAGAGGCAGATTTGGGGTTCCGC